TATATATATACATATATATATACACATGTATATATGTATGTATATATGTACCTGAAAATGGTAATGATAAATTCTCCTGGATTCCGAAAAATTCGGTTTAGTTCCTTGTAAAAGAAATTCGCGCAAAGTATAATCAGCAGTTGAGGTTCGCGATATAGCACGCACTTTCCATTCATTACCATATTCAGAAGTTGTTCCTTCTTCTGGCCAATAACGTGCACATTTATTCTAGAAAAAAAGAATGTATCTAAAATTAGATTTCCAATCAGTAACAGCACTTAAATACATACCTTTCCTCTTTCTATCTCCTTGGTGGTCATAACAATGACACGAGTATTCTCTTGGTAGACCATATGCCAAAAATCTTGTATGGTATTTGGTAAACAACCTTGAGTAGCTATATAACACTTGCCAAATGATGCGACATCATCAAGATTCTCAATGGCACTTGTATCATCAATTTCTATGTTCTATATAAAACAATTTTATTATATTTGATAAGAACAATTTATAAATTTAAATAAAATATTTTAAAGCCATTAAATATTCTTTTAAATTCTTTGGTTAATCTAAATAAAATCGATCTAAAAAAAATTCTAAGATTACTATAATTTCGAGTAATTTAAATTATTACTGAAGAAAAACTAAATTTTGAAGAGGAAAGTAATAAAATCATATTTGATTAGTCTTAAGTGAATTTTAACTGATTTTGATGATAACTTGATGACTTTATTTTTAAATACATAATTACACATATATAACATTAGATTAGTATTGAAAAGATGCAATAAATTATAAATTTGCTCAATGTATTTATTAATCATTTGAATGCCACAGACAATTGTGAAAGTCAATAAGTCGACTGTCAAGTAATAGTGCTTTTCTTATACAAAAAAGGATCAAGCAATGCAATTGCACTGTTTTTTATTTGCATTTTTTATTAATTTTTTCAAAAGTACTAAAACACTATAAAATGCACTAATATGCAGGATGCAGACTAAAGCCTGTTGTATATTGATCAATCTAGATATAAAAGCATAATGTAAATACTTTTATTAATATAAAATGCTTAATATAGATTTTTTTAATTATATTGATTTTTTAATTATATCTCCAATCTTATGTACAATATATAAATATATATAATAAATATATATAATAAATATATATAATAAATATATATAATAAATATATATTTTTTTACATTAATTTATATAGGGCAGTCTTTAAGATGCATCAGTGTATATGCGATCGAATTTGTTATTAATAACGCTTTGAGTTGTAACACTAACAATGCGCTAATAAAATATTGAATGTATCATCAATTGAATTTATTGAGATGCCATGATTATGTATTATGACAGATTAATAAAAACAGTGCAAATGTGT